GACTTCTGTAGTAATTTTTTTCTGTGCATCTGCAGATGGTGCAACCATGCTGAAACTTTTCATGGGCTTGAAGGGAAATTGTGGTTGCTAATCAGTTTCTTCTCAGTCTTTCTACCTTTCCCTTCCAAGTGTGGAGTGAAAAACAAGTACAGGAACGAACTAGGTTTAAGACCAGGCCATGGACTACAGTACCTCTCTGTTCAGTGTTGACTGAATAAGAACACTTAAAAGATTTTTCTTTTTCAGAGCTGTATAACAGTCGTGATGGTTTTCTTAAAACAAGCATGATACTTAGCAGTAAGAATGAAGAGAGAGGTTAAGGTCAAGTTTTACTTTTCCCTGTTTATAATCTGTATGGGCTTAACATTTTCAGACTATTCCCTCTCTGTTTCCGCTGTTTCCCTCTGCTTCTCTTCTGAGCAGTTGAAGTTGGGTAGAAAAGAGGCTCCTTTTAAATCCACTGACTGGCTTTATCGTGTGTTTCATTCCTTTTTCCTAACCTGATTCAAACTAGTTTTTCAGTTATCGTGAAGATTAGGATGCTGTCATCAGCCAAGGTTGTTCTTTAACGTTAAGTGTCTGCAAGGAATTTAAGTCATTGGGTTTTTTCCAATGTGCCACATAACCCCTCTATTGAGTTGATCTGGTATGTAGTAAACGTGTCAATATGCAGGCCATGATACACTGCGCAGATCTAAGTCCACCCAATGCAATAAACGTGTTCTTTGTTGTTGTGAGGGAGGGATGGTAACTCTGGAGATGCTTGCCTTAAAAAGGATGCTGCATGCTGTGGATCTGGGCTGAGGGCTGCTGGACTGCAGCCACATTCAGTAGCTGCTTTGGACCCTTTTTTTATAAGGACCTGGCATAGATTAAAACTAAAAAACAAATGGTGAAAAGGAAGTGACTCCGTTGGGAATAATTTACAACAGTGTTCAGAAGATATGTGATCTCCCAGAAAGACCCACAGCTCTGAGCTGAGATTACTGAAGGATGATGTGGTCAAGCCTCTTTCAATAGAGGAGTCTGGGAGAGCACGATGTTGCTGTGCTCAGTAACATCAGTTTGTAGCTGACCAGAGAGTAGCAGTAGCTGTCTGGGAAAGCAGACCTCTCATTGAAGTGGAGCGCGCTCAGAAAAAGCTGCTCTTGGCAAAGTGAGATTTTTTTCTTGTGGTGGTGGTGTGAGCAAGCTACTCTGCTAAAAGCAGAATTAGCCACAATTGTTTTTGTGTTAAGCCTTGTAGTTCCTTCTTTGCGTAGGAAGTCATCCAGTGCTGGTGGTAACATACTGTACTTGTTACCACTGTACAGAATTTCAGGGTAGATGAGAAGTTGAGCAACCTCATGCCTTCCCTTAAAAGAACCCTTTTGAACCTTGCAGATCACAGACTTTCCTCAGAATGGGTGCTTGAACCCATGGGCGGGAAGACAATACGGAATTAGAACAATTTCTGCCCCCTCAGCCCTTTCAGCAGATACCTTCAGCTTTTCCATTTTAATAAAAAGTATCCAGCCTCCTCCTTTAAGATTAAGCCTTCCATCTCCACTCTGAAGTAAAGGAAACAATTTTCACAGAAAGGAAGCCAGAAGAAGGGAGACAACTAGAAATCATAACTTGCTTCAGTAACACGCCATGAGTATACAAAACAGGAGAAAGGTGAACAGGAGTTGATTTCAAGATTGCTACTTAGATGTTAACGGCAAGCAGTCTATCCTGATTCTCGTTTCAGAAATGTAAATGACTGCACAGGCTGAACAAGTCTCTGTTGCTAGGGAAAGCCTGACCCAGCTGGAGCAGACTTAGGCTGAAAAGGCCTTAGACTTGCAAAAGGGTTGTGCTGGATTGACTGTGTGACTCAGAGCTGTCTTGGTGCTGCTTTGTCTAAGACTTTGCTGTTGAGAGAGCCAGAGAGTGATGGGTGCTCCATCTTTAACTTCAAGCTGGTTGAGAGGATACTGAGACCATTCAGCGTAGTACAACCTTTTAACATTGCCCAAAAAAGTAAAGGGCCAAAGGCAAGGCTTAAAATGTGAAGGTGTGTATTTTTTTTTCCCAAGAAAAACCTAAACAGTTGTGTTTCTTTAAAACTTCCAAATGGAGTAACTGGGAGAAATACAAAATTTGGAAGCAAGAACTACACCATGACTGAAATGGTTTCTTGTAGGAAATTAATTCTTCTCATTACTAAAATCGGTGAATGTGTGAACTGTCAATCCTGCCCTTGAAGACCTTAGTATTGATAATGAATTAACTGCAATGAATATATGTACAGCTGTGACATGCTGTAGCAAGCAGAAGTTGTATCGTAGGCTGAATGTTAAACAGCAGGCTTTCTGCTGATTTGTCTTCTGTAGCATGCCATTTTGCAAAAATAATGGTTTCTTCGAAATACTGAAGGCTAACAGGGAAGTCTGTTTAGGAGTAGCTAGTGACCTGAAATAACGAGTGGGTATATAAAAAGAATAAAGACTTGCTGCATGAAGTAAATGATTATTTGATGACAGATGATGATTAAATAGCAGGCGTTTCTCAAGGTGGCAAGGTTCTCCTCCATGTCAAAATGTTTTTTATGATCAAAATGAGCATTAGCAAATCATAGTTAAGACCGAGAAGAAACTACTGAATCGCTGTACGGTGAGCTCTTTGTGTCACACACAGCTTTGCGTTAGCCTGCCCAGTCTATGTGTACGCAGTAGTGTCAGCTCACTGCCCGTGTGCTGTGCGGTGTGTCTGTGTTCACAGCCTCTGTTCTGCTCCTTGCTGTCCCAGCCTGGAGCAGCACTTGCAAAGGAGACTTGCCAGGAGATTCTGCCAGATCAAGGAAGAGGCTGCATGTCGCATTAATTACTCTCATCTTATGAACCTGTTACGTGCAGTCATTTTTCCTGGTAGTTCACTGACCCCCTCTCAGTTACGTGATCAGGCTTGGATCTGTCCTTTGACGAGGAATAGGCTGCAGGTCCTCAGACTGTAGTGTGGAGTGGGTTTTTCTGTTACCTTTGGAAATCTACATGCCCTGCAGCTTGCCCCTGGGGTGCTCCTGGGGAAAAAAAGAGCACAGTTGGGCTTCTTGTTGGTTAGTAGGTGAAGCTCAGTACTTTTGGACTAAAGCTCTGCTTCCAGGGAGGCGTTTGTGTTCGTCTAGGTAAAGAATACATTGCTTATCTTCGGTATTTTACTGTATTGGGAAGTTAACTTTAAACAAATAAATATGTATTTCTTTAAAGAACTAATTTCTCACTCAGAATTAGGCCCTTAGTTTAGAGTAAGTCTGAGACATGATAGGCAGTTTAAGGAAAGGATTGGAAATCTGTAAGCAGCTAAATGAAAGCAGCGTGAATCTGACTATTGGTAATTATCCTGGGTGTTTCTAATCTACCCAAAACTATTGGGGCAGGTTAATAAACAGATGTTGCATTTGTGTATTCTGTCAGCGAGCAGAGTAAATACATACCTTTGTTACATGTGCAATTCAGAATTGGAAATGAACTAGTAAGTTATACTAGTCATAATAAAAAAAGCTCTATAAGCTGGAATATCAAAAACTGTTAAATGGAATATAAATGCTCTAAAGAGCATTTTATGTGCACTTCATTGTTTCTGACAGACCAGTTTATATTGTTAAGTCCATATATGCTTTCTCTAAAATGGGATCCAAAGAAAACACAGCACAGCCAGATGGAAAATGTAGTTGACTTTGAGCTCTGATGAATTTGTTTTTCATATAATCCTTTTCAGGGCAGCAAGAAAAACGTGAGAAAAAGATGATGCATTGTGATATAATTAACTTTCATGAACAATGTGAACTTTAAAGAAATTTCTTAAAGAAAAAAGAGAATCTGCTTTAATTTGAACTGTTTTTTCCAAATGTCAGTCTGGACCAAGGTGCTTGCCCTAGTTCGTGTTTGCATCTCTGTAATTCTCATTATATGCATGAAGTTCTGCAAAATATAACTCGCTAGATGGACTAATAAGTTCTTAAATCAAGAATGTCAACAGCACGCTCATCTGTAATCAGTTTCTAATGTTGGCGCCCACTGGACTTTATCCTTTTCCATGTTAAGGGAGTGATGTTTCATAATTGAGGCAAGTGAGTGCATACTTTAGCCATAAAGTTCTAGAAAACTCATTGATTTATAAAAGCATTAAATAGCTAAAATTAAGTAACTTTCAAGCTGAAACAAACATAAAGCTAAAAGCAATATGGCTTTTAAAGCCCAGCTTCAGAATAGACGCATGAACAGCTATATAATGCTTTAGTTAGCGGTTGCTGCCATTTCTCTTACAAATTGTTCTTTAGGGTATTGTAACTCAGCTGTTTTTAAACCCATCACTCTGGAACCTTGCCTACAAAATGTCAGCGCAAGTGCAAATTTTATTTCTTTAACAAAATAAAGGGCTTGGAGCAGTTACGCTTTCTAAAATTTTATGACAGTAAAATAAATGTTGCTACTTTTGCTTTGCCATAACAGGAACCTTGTTCACCTTTTCCTGCCAGCAGGTAGAGACTAACCAAAATAGTGTAATTGGAAAAACGCTATGTGTTCTGACTTTTTCTGAAAAAGAGAAGTCCAATGTCACAGTGTAAATATGCTCATGTTATCGTCGGGCTGTGCTTTGGGCAGAGGGCACTGTCCTGTGAGGGCAGGTGGAGGGCTGGTTGCTTTGGAAGAAAATTTCAGAAGTTAAAAGCAAGCTGTGGGTACCAGCTTATTAAAGGAATTCAATCCGGGTTGAGGTTGTCTTTCCTCAGATTCAGGAGAGAAGCCCACGCTGCTGCACATGACCAGTACCTCTCTTACCAGATCTGCTAGCTTGGAGTTCTTTAACATTCTCCCTCTCCCATCTGGCTTCTAAAGCAGGGCGATGCCAACCCAGTCACCTTTCCAGATGTTTTCCTGAAGCTGAAGCCTTGACGCGTGTTCCAGGCAGTAGCATGCAATTGTTCTGTAGCCAGTATATACTAAAATGGGGATTTTTCTGTCTCACTGGTCGTGATGGCCGAGTGTTACTGTTGGTACATTAGTTTTGGTGGTGGGGTGTTTTTGTTTGTTTGTTTGTTTGTTTTCTTAAGGTTTAGGGAATGAGCTTTCTTGCACATAGCTGCTTCTAGTGCAGCAAGTCCTATTTTAATAGCCTCTGCTTTCAGCTTGGATCTTTACAGAAGGAAGATTAGGTAATTGTTAGCGTAGAAAACATCTGTTTCTTAACAAAGATCTCACCCTGTTGTTTTTTTATGTTGTCCTAACATGAAAGTCCTTTAGTCTTTTAGAGACTTAAAAGTCTTTAAGTCAGTGTCGGATATTAGAGTTGCTGTGGTTTTAGCATGCTCATGTTCTGGATCCTTTGTTAGCTTAAGTTATTAGCCTTAGATAAGTGTTGTGGGATGGAAGGACTGCTTTCTATTGTCAGCGCAGTTTCTGAATCTCTGGACAATTTGTCTGGGTTAGAATTTAAGTTTTTTGGCTCCAGTGTTTGTTTAGACCTTTTCTTGTCTGAGGAAAAGATATTGTTAAAATAATTAAGCCTAGCATGCATAAAAAAGAGAACTGTTCCACAAAATTGAGTTGCTTGGGGTTTATTTAAGTTTTTGGTTGCTTAAATAAATTGGCATTTTACTTTGTCTGCTTACAAGCAACTTACGATCTGTTCCGAGGAATCTTTTTTCCATGTTTTCCACAGAAGACCAACTCTTGAGGATTTCTAAGAACAACAGCTCTCTACACTCCATAGTTCTTTAGTTTACATAGAAGTGCATTTTATGTATCTAATTATTACATTGTTAGTACGCTTTTCTTCCAGCCCCTTAAAGTGTTTTATTGTGGTATGTGTCTAATAAGGAAAGACTTAATATATGTATTTATTAGGGAATAATCCTTTTGGTCATTGTTTTCTTGAGAGTGCATTGAGTTCAGTCTGCTGTTTTCAAGGGAAATTCCTCACTGTGTTGTTGTGTGTACTTGTAAATAAATTTATCCTGTGTTTCTTAGAACTCAAGAAACTTTTTTGTATCTTGGTGCCAAAATCAGTGAAACTTGGTTTGCTGGAACATGCAAACAGGAATTCAGTGCATTAGCTACAAGTTCAAGCACTTTTCTTCCCAGTCACAGTGCAGGAAGTGCTGACCAGCTTTCCATGGGTTTTGTGTTGTTGCTCATCTTACGCAAGACCAGCATTCAAGAACTGGGGCGAGTTTGGCTTGTGACCCTGGGAAGAAAGAGTGATTTGAGAAATAAGTTGTAATTTTCTGGGAAGTGTTCCCTTTTATGTGCATGTGTCTTAAGGGGGGTGGGGGGGTAAATTAGTGACTTGATGACCAGTGGGTCACTCTCTGTATTACCTGACTTGTTTGAAGTCATGTGGCTGAGCCCGTAGTTTGGTCACACATGTCATGGTGTAATTTGAAGCAGGGTGTGCAAATGCATTTGGTTTATCTTTATATTCCTTAGTCCAGTGCAGCTCTTTCCAACAGCAATAGTAAAACAACGTTTCTGTTTGCTGCAGAATACAGACAGCTTGCAACTGTGTGTTGGTCCTGGTAGTGTTTACAGTGATAGGTTAAATGAAATGAATAGGCAATGTAGGTGTAAATCAAGTACTCATTTCTTAGTTTAACATTTCAACGTAATTAAGAAGTTAAAAAGTTCATGGCCATCAGTGTCCTACTTGCATTCCAATTTCAAAAGACTTAAAGATGCCTTATTTACTAACTTCCCTTTTTTTTTTTACATTTTCAGTTTGCGGCCCAAATGTTGACATTCGCAATGATATCCATGAGCTGAAACGCCTGGAGAACTGTACGGTAATTGAGGGTTTCCTGCAAATTCTGCTCATCTCTAAAGCAGAGGATTACCGCAACTTCCGCTTCCCAAAGCTCACTGTCATAACTGACTATTTGCTGCTGTTCCGTGTGGCAGGCTTGGAAAGCCTCAGCGATCTCTTCCCCAACCTCACAGTCATTCGTGGGAGGAACCTCTTCTATAACTATGCCTTGGTTATCTTTGAAATGACAAATCTTAAAGAGATTGGGCTTCACAACTTGAGGAACATAACCCGCGGGGCCATACGGATTGAGAAGAACTCTGACCTGTGTTACCTCTCCACAGTGGACTGGTCTCTCATCCTAGATGCAGTGTCCAATAACTACATCGTTGGGAATAAACCTCCAAAGGAATGTGGGGACTTGTGTCCAGGAACAATGGAAGAGAAGCCGTTGTGTGAGAAGACATCTATTAACAATGAATACAACTACCGCTGCTGGACCACCAACCACTGCCAGAAAAGTAAGATTTGAGTAGATAGTGTGGTTTTGTTACCTCTTTCTGAAGTAAAGGTTTAGTTTTGTGGTTTTATTTTAAGCTTTTTAGCAACTTGAACTTTTATTCTTTTTGTGTGTAGGCTGCCTAACAAGTTATCCACTTACCATGCAATAGATTCCTCCCCAACCAGTAAAGCATCGTCTCACTTGATTTAAAAAAAAAAAAAGCGGGAATGGGGCAAAATCCCCCCACCAAAACCAGCAAAACACACCAAAACCCCACCAGCTTTCTGGGTTACTTCCTCATGGAAAAGATGCAAAGTAAATGTAGAGCTGAAGCCATTATAGCAAA